TTCATTCCTGCCTGATAAATCCTGACAGAACAATGCAACCAACACAGAATCCAGCGGGCAGGGTTCTTCTCAGAATTACTCACCTGTCTGTTACGAGCCACAGATGGGGGAGCCTGTAATCCGGTGTGGTGGGTTCCTAACCGAACCCGTCTGAACACGAAGTCGCCACTGCCCGGTGATTGAAGTTTTGTCTTCGCCTCTTCTTGTTCTGGAGGAAGAGAAAAGGTCTCTGCCCTGGGGGGAAAACGAGGCACCCGAGACATTTTTCTCCATCTCCAGCGCCGCTTGGCTACTCGGGGTGGACGTCAGGGGAGGACGTGGAGCTGGAGGATGAGCTCTGTCTCATTCCTGCCCCCTCTTCCCACCATCGCTGCCAGGGCAGCAGAAAACAAAACCGGAAACAATCCACGAAACATTCCCCAACATCCCTGACAGCGACAACAGAACCAACTCAGTCTGGTGAGGCTGAGTTTCCGGGACCTGGTTCCAGTGCTGTTGAGAGAGCCGATCCAAACGCCTTACCTCCTAGTACTTTGGTGAGGGTGGAATCCGGCACCTCACTCCTGCACCAAGCTCCCACGAGGATCAGTCCTGTCACCCCGCTCTCCATCCCCCATTCATCTAAAGACCTGATGAAGGGGGGCCACCCCAGAGAACAGTCTACACAGCAGTCCCACACCACTTCTGCAGAGGTCACCAAAAAAGACACGTCTTGGGAGATAGATGCCTCTGACATCTATCACATGAACACCAACCTTCAAAACCTGTTGACTTCAGCTAAAAATAACCCAGACTGTTCAGACACACTTCTTAGGTTAGCTGAGAAATTGTTAATTTCTGTACCCGGCCTCACCTCTATCCCAACATATCACCAGCTTTTGATTGAGATCAGGTCCATAAGACAATCCACCACAGAACCTGCAGCCTGTCTAGAACCAGTCTCGGTCCCAGTTCCAGACCCAGTCTCGGTCCCAGTTCCAGACCCAGTCTCTGTCCCAGTTCCAGACCCAGTCTTGGTCCCAGTTTCAGACCCAGACTCGGCCCCAGTCCCAGAGCCTGACTCGGCCCCAGTCCCAGAGCCTCCAGAACCTGCAGCCTGCCCAGAGCCTTCAGAACCCGCAGCCTGCCCAGAGCCTTCAGAACCTGCAGCCTGCCCAGAGCCTTCAGAACCCGCAACCTGCCCAGAGCCTTCAGAACCTGCAGCCTGCCCAGAGCCTTCAGAACCTGCAGCCTGCCGCAGAAGAGCCAAGCTCCACATCTCATGTCTTGAGGAGGTCCTGGCAGATGCTCCTCACTTCTCCTGCTCCGAGAGGATCCTGGCGGATGCTCCTCGCGTCTCCTGTTCCAAGGAGGTCCTGGCAGACGCTCCTCACTTCTCCTGTTCTGAGGGGGTCCTGGAGGACGCTCCTCATATTTCCTGTTCCGAGAGGGTCCTGGCGGATGCTCCTCACGTCTCCTGTTCCAAGGAGGTCCTGGCAGACGCTCCTCATTTCTCCTGCTCCGAGGGGGTCCTGGAGGACGCTCCTCATATTTCCTGCTCTGAGGGGGTCCTGGCGAACGCTCCTCACGTCTCCTGTTCCGAGGAGGTCCTGGCGGACGCTCCTCACTTCTCCTGTTCTGATGGAGTCCTGGAGGAGGCTCCTCACTTCTGCTCTGAGGGAATCCTGGTGGAGGCTCCTCATGTCTCTTGTTCCGAGGGGGTCCTGGCAGAGGCTCCTCACTTCTCCTGTTCTGATGGGGTCCTGGAGGAGGCTCCTCACATCTCCTGTTCCGAGGGGGTCCTGGAGGACGCTCCTCATTTTTCCTGCTCCGAGAGGGTCCTGGAGGATGCTCCTCACGTCTCCTGTTCCAAGGAGGTCCTGGCAGACGGTCCTCACTTCTCCTGTTCCGAGGGGGTCCTGGAGGACGCTCCTCATATTTCCTGCTCCGAGAGGGTCCTGGCGGATGCTCCTCATGTCTCCTGTTCCAAGGAGGTCCTGGCAGACGCTCCTCATTTCTCCTGTTCTGATGGGGTCCTGGAGGAGGCTCTTCACATCTCCTGTTCCGAGGGGGTCCTGGCGGATGCGCCTCACTTCTCTTGTTCAGAGGGGGTCCTGGAGGACGCTCCTCACTTCTCCTGCTCCGAGGGGGTCCAGACAGACTTCTGCTCCGGCCTGCTCAACCGTGGAGTTCCAGACGGACTCCTCTCCTGTCTGCTCAGCTGTGGGGGTCCAGACAGACTCCGCTCCTGCTCCAAATCCTGCTGCCAAAGATCCTGCCGCTGAAGATAATGCCGCCGAAAATCCAACCGCAGAAGATCCAGCACCAGCCGATCCAGCCGCAGAAGAGTTTCTCGCTGCTGAGCTCCTTGCCACTGATCCGCCTGCTGAGGTCCTCGCTCCTGGTCCTTCCGCTGAGGTCCTTGCTCCTGGTCCATCCACTGAGGTCCTCGCTCTTGGTCCATCCACCAAGGTCCTCACTCCGGGTTCGCCTTAGGTCTTCGTCCCCGGCTAGTCTGAAGTCTTTGCTCCTGGTTCATCTGAGGTCCTCGCTCCTGGTTCATCTGCTGAGGTCCTCACTCCTGGCCCATCCGCCGAGGTCCTCACTCCCGGTTTGCCTAAGGTCTTCGTCTTCGGCTCGTCTGAGGTCTTTGCCCCTGGTTCGTCTGAGGTCCTCGCTCCTGGTCCATCAGCTGAGGACCTCACTCCTGGTCCATCCACCAAGGTCCTCGCTCCCGGTTCACCTGAGTTCTTTGTCCCCAGCTTGTCTGAGGTCTTTGCCCCTAGTTCGTCTGAGGTCTCCGCTCCTGCTCCAGATCCTGCCACCAAAGATCCGACCGCAGAAGATCCTGACCCGACCGCAGAATATCCAGACCCGACCGCAGAAGATCCTGGTTCATCTGAGGTCTTGCCCCTGGTACATCTGAGGTCTTCGCCCCTGGTTCGTCTGAGGTCTTTGCTCATGACCCAACCGCAGAAGATTCTGACCCAACTGCAGAAGATCCTGACCCGACTGCAGAAGATCCTGGCTCGCCTGAGATCTTCGGTCTTGGCTCGCCTGAGATCTTCAGCCTCAACCTGCCTGAGACCCGGTCTGTCCTGCTCCTGCCCAATGAATGGTCCGATGGACAATCTCTCGGCTGCCTGACTGACCGGCTCCGGTCCTATGAATGGTCTCCCAGCCTCCTGTCTGTCCTGCTCCTGCCTGATGAATGGCCTGATGGACAATCTCTCGGCTGCCTGACTGACCGGCCCCAGCCCGATGAATGGTCTCCCGGCCTCCTGTATGTCCGGTTCCTGCCCGAAGAATGGTCCGATGAACGACCTGTCGACCACCTGCCTGACCGGCCCCGGCCCAATGAATGGTCCACCTGTCTGTCTTCGCTTTGCCTGAACGGCCTATTGGACGACCTCTTGGCTGCCTGCCTGACCATTGCCTGATGAATGGTCTCCAGGCCGCCCGCCTGACATGCTCCAGTCTGATGGACGGCCTCCCGCCCGCCCGCCCGTACTGCTTTAGTCTGATGGTTGCCCTCCTGACCCATTCCGATTTGATGGACAGCCTTCCGGCTGCCCGCCGGAACCATGACCATGTGAGGATGGTTACCTGACTGCTCAGACTTTTTTTGTGTGTGTACCTATTTGTGTTTAGTTGTGTTCCCAGGTTTTAGTTTTGTCAATTTATTTTTGTCCTCGTGTTTCATTGGGCCCTCCATCCTTGCAGTTCCTCCCTCCACCCACCCAAGTCTTTTTTGGGGGGGATTTTTTTGGGGACGCCAGGGGGCATCCTTGAGGGGGGGATACTGTAAGGATGGCGCCATCTGTGGGCCTTCCTTGTCTGTACTCCCTTGTGTGTCTCATCATTTATCCAATTAATTTCACCCTTGTCTCGTGCCAGCTGTTTGTAATCACGTCCTGTCTTGTCTGGGTATATAGTCTGTCGGTTAGTCTTGTTTGTTGTCAGAGTCAGAGTCAGAGTTTCTTTATTGTCATTCGCACCTCATGTGGTACATGTGGTGGAGCAAAATTATGTACACAGGGTCCCAGTTACATCCAACAATAAAATGTATAAGAAAAACAGTAATAACATCTAAGATATGAACTAAGAAAAACATCAACTAAATATACACTAAGCACTCATAACATAAAACATTGAACATCACCACAAACATGAACATGAGTCTGTGAGCAGATGTGCACGCATGAACACATCAACATTGAAACAGATCAGCAGCAACATGAAACAGATCAGCAGCAACATGATATGGTTTTTCACAGTGATTATTCTAGTTAGAGATTCATGAGTCTAACAGCCTCAGGGTAGAAGCTGTTCCTCAGTCTAGTGGTTCTACACTTAATGCTCCTTAACCTCCTTCCTGAGGGGAGTGGGGCAAAAAGTGCATCGTCGCTGGGTCTACCCTGTCGTCCTGCCAGTCTGAGCCAGTCCCGAGTATATTTTGTAAGTTGCTGACTTGTCAGCTATTTAATTTATTATCATTAAAGTATTTATTTTTGTATCTTCTGAGTCGAGTCCCTCCTGCAACTATTGGGTTCATTTCTGCCTGATAAATCCTGACACCTAATATTGCATCTGTCCAGAAATGTGTTTTAGGATTCAACAGAACTGAATCTTAGAGATGTGCGGATCAAGTATCTGTGTTTGTAACAACTGTTTTACTCTTCAGCATTCACAGAACCAATCCTAAATCTAGCTTTTCTCTAAAATAATGTACCGGTAGTTAAAAACACCCTTCTTGTCCTCAAACGTGTAGTGACAATATGATACAATTGTCATAAAGTACTTATGTAGATATGCTTAGGACCAATTTATGCTTATTGGATTAATGTGTCCTGCAAAGGGACTGCTTGAAGTACATTTCATTACAGGTCTGATCATTACTAGCACACAGATCAAGCCACTTTTTTTTTTACCTTGCTGTTGAAAAAGCTACATTTTTTTCTTCATGATGAAAATCCTGATGTTGCTCAATAATCCAAGTAGATAAATCTAACAAGACTGAGTCAGACCCTCTGGATGGATGAAGAAGAATCCGTCCACATGACCTGACTCAACCATATTAGATTCATGAAGAATAATATTTTCATGGTTATATTATAATGTTATGTTATAATATTTTCATGCATTGAAGGGTGGTGCCGCAGGGGTCCATCCTCAGTCCTCTTCTCTTTTCTTTATGCCTGCTACCACTAGGTACTATTTTTCATTGTTAGATTGAGCTTTATTCACAATTTTAATCTTAACACTGTGTAATTTGTTTTTAACCTGTCTGTATTCTAAAGTGTTAGCCATTTGTTATTACTGGTATCTTTATCCTTTTGAATCTATGTGTATTTTACTGTGTGCTTTACTTGTTTGTTTCTGCTTTACAGCACTTTGGTTGGCATTTGTGCAGTTTTAAGTGCTCTATAAATAAAATGGTATGGTATGGTTGGAACATGCTTGAGTAACGCAGCAATTCATTTTGAATCTGCTCCGTTAATGGAGGAAACTGTAAATTGGTCTGAACTTTTCCAGTGTACAGAAAACAGCAGCTTAGTAGATATGTGAAGGAACGCAAAGCTAAAGATGTTGTGATGTTTAGCTTCAAAGCTGTTTTTGTTCCCACCTCCTTACTTGTGTGTTTACGGTATCGTAATGTTTGCATGGACCAACCTTCAGTGTGGAGGTCAGTATGCGTAGGCGATGGAGGCGCTCATTGAGCTGAGGGTCTGCTGCCCGTCGGAGGAACGACTGCCGGAATTCAGTTTGACCTTTGGCCTCCGAACCTCGTCCTAGAGGACAAACTCCGCCCTGCTCACACGCTCGAAACAGGTCACCCAGGGATGCTCCTTCACTCCCACCTTCAACACATTTGGAGGAACACAGAAAGTAATTTGATATTATTTTAACTAATGAACTCAAATCAATTCTGAAATATAAAGCTGAACAGTTGAGGTGGCAAATCTTAGATCCACCACAGGAGGACAGCAGCAGACATGAGCAATTCCACCTCGCAGCATCTTAGTCACAGCAAGATTACTGATGGTAATACCCTCATCTCTCCTGTCTGACAGCTCAAGAGACAGTTTCACTACTAGGACACTTTTATTTCCTCGTCTATATCAGCATTTATCTTTAATACTCTGATAGATCTTACATGCATCGCCTGATTACAAAAAACAGCCTTATTAATACAAAGTATTTTAGTCTGTCACTTTCTTCTGCCTCTGGCTTCACCTTATCAACCAGAGCACTGTCGACTCATTAGCCTCATTAGAACAGTGCATGACTTCTGTGTGTTAATAGAAACTGATGATCACTTAAATGGACATGTGTCTGCATGAGAGAGGTTTTCTGAATCTGCGTCACTGCCTTCTCCTTTAAAAAAAATAAATCTTCAGTCTCTTGTGGCTGTCAGTCACTGTGAGACACATTTTCTCTGTTTTACTCTGTTGTTGGACTCTCAGAGAAATAAAAATAAGGAGAATGTGAATTACTTTCCACATAAAAAGAAAACTAACACTGGCATGTTTCTTTGTGAACCCTTGTGACAAAAAAACCCCACATACTTTTCTTGAAGTATAATAGTTTTTTATGACTTGAAAATTTGCATTTTCAAATTCTGTGCAGTCAAAGGCTGGTAGCTGTAGACGAGTCAGAATCACATATGTCAAACTCAAGAGCCATGGGCCAAATCTGGTCTCCCATAAGGATAATTTAAATGTAAAAGATTGTATATCTTTTCATTTTTTCTTTAAAACAACTGATGAATACACCATTTTGAATAGACTTCTCTTGCCATCTGGCTAACATTGAAGCCAGAAAGACCGCTGCAGCATTATATCATTATTGCTTCTGATGCGGAAAGAGTAACAGAACATCAAGTGAGACAAATCAAACTCTTGTTCAGGAACCTGCTACCAAGAAAATATATCATGTATCTGACTGGAGTTAAGGTATCAGCTGAAAGTGGCTCAAACAAAGTTTTTACATTTTGGTACCTTTAAATGAGTTTGACACCCCTAGATCTGTACAAAGTTTAAATTCTGAATCCAAATTCAGTTCAAAACAGATCCAGACACAATCCCCATCCTGAGCATCCCAGTGGTGATAATGGAAAGGAATAACTTCCACTTAACATGAAAACAATGTCTTGCAGAACCATGCTCAAAATAGGAAGCCATCTGCCTCAACCTGCTGGGAGCTGAGGAGAGGATTTAATTATTTTTCTTTATCAAGAAGGCAATGAGGTGTGATTGATTCATTTGTCCACCGAGACAAGAGCTCAGGAAGATCAAAGTGATCAGTAATGTCATTTAGTCCAAAATCAACCCACTCAAATGAATGAAACTTAGGAAGTAGAAGAACAAACAACGGAAGAAATCATTAAAATGTTTTTTTGTGTGAATGCCCTTTTCTTCAAAAGAACACGTTGAATAGAAATTATTATCGATTGGCTGGACTTTAAAATCCTTACAGATTGATTTAGATTAACATTTTAGCACAGGTGTGGTTTTTAATTGATTCAATTTTTATTTTAGTTTAGCATTTTTGTTCAGTCTTACCAGAGGCGTTCAGTCTGACTGCTGCTACATTAACAGCAAACTACAATAGCTTATACATGAATGAGCTTAAATGCAATCTGGGTTTATCAATTGTGGTATTTAACTAGTTTCTGGTAAACCCAAACAGCAGAATATATACTGCAATAAATAATTAATGAGGACAATTTAATAAATAATTACGATCAGGAATCAATGAGCGAGCTAATTAAAAACACCTTTTCAGTTGTTGATTTTTCAAGATCAAGATTGAAAATGAGCGGCCAACAACATACCACACTTCAACTGTTGGTAAGTAATTGTTAATGTACCAACAGCAATCCACTTTATCCCCAACCCTGATCAAACTACCCACTGGCTCATCAGTCCAGTCAGAATTCAAGTATTTCTCCAATCTAATGTTCTTTAATGAAGCTATACAAGAAAAAATGTTAACATAACGTCTGTTCATAAACCTTTGAAGCCCTCTTCAAAACATTTAACGTAACATTTAAGCAGTAGAAAAGACATTAAAGGTTCAAATATATGTGAGAATATGCAGTAACTCTACTAAGGGGCAACGATGAAAAGATTCTGGCAACCAGATTTAGGAGACCTTTGCATTTAACCTCAGGTTTTCAACAAGACCAGTCCCTCAATAAATTAACACAAAAAAAAATCATGTACCTTTAACCCTACATAATTACAGATTAGTATTATTATGCAGATAATTTTTTCAGTAAAGATTAAAGGATGTCTTCACTGAACTGAAGTTACAAAAAGAGACAACAGAATGGGAACGCTTAAATCCACAGAGGAACTGCAGGAAGCTCGCTGAAACACTTCAAAACAGCCATCCTGTCAAAAGCTGTTTTAAATTACATAAGCTGATTTTTAAATAAAGTTAATGAGCACTTTAAGCTATGCAAAAAAAAAAAAAAAAGTTTATTTATTTGAGCTGAGTGGCTTGGAATTTTCTACTTTGCCAATAATCCCCCGGTTTCTTTATTTTATTTATATATATTGTTTTAATAAAACTGTTACCTTTACGCTCTCTGCTCTGTTGTAATGTGATTTTATTTGCACTGCATATACTACCTGACTCAACTCACCATTGTGTGTTTGTTGCTCTTCCTTCGTGGGCGGCATGAGGAGTGTGTGTAGGTTGCTGTCTCGTGGCAGCGTGAAGCTGCGGGGTTTCCCTCCCTGAGTTGCCATAGGGATCAGCCTCTGCATCGCCACTGGCAACGGGACGTTTCTCTGTGGAGGAAGAGTGTAAACAGCTCCGGCCATCATCGAACCACCCCCTGGACCCGGATCGGCGAACACAGCATCCTCTGTGAAAGAAATTTGAAAATAATAATGATAATAAAAATAAATAAAAAATACATGGACCTAATGTTTAATTGAGAAAATCAATGAGAAATATGTTATATCTTACTAAAACAACATCATGTATAAATAATTTAGGACTAAACTGTTAAATGCAATTATTAATTTTCATTTAAAAAGGACAAAAGAAAATGGCAGTCTGAAAATAAAATCAAAATGTCCAATATAAAAAACTGATCATTTAACAATTCAAACATATCTGCAAACACTTTACTTTTTGCAATGTTAAAAAAGGCATACATTGCATCACATCAGTTACAGTACCTAAACTGACTTTATTGAATGATATCCAATATTTTGATTATATATATATATATATATATATATATATATATATATATATATATATAGATAGATAGATAGATAGAATTTTTTTTATTTATTCCCTGGTTTGCCACTGTAGCAAATGCTAGTATGGTATTGCAGATTGTCCTTGATGAAATACACTGTTTCTGCAGAAGAAATAATACATTGTACTACAATGAACCAAGCCTCAGGTTAAACTTTAATCCAAAATGGTCAAAAGCAAAATAGTGCATTTTCTGTCAATGACTACTGGTGACCAACTTTCTTGCCAATTCTCCCATTCTCACAATCTGTATAGAATATGACAGATGACCCTTTTCTTCATGCGGAGCAAAGTTATCTAAAAAATGCAAACTTCCATAATGTGTAGATCATTTATCATGTTGTACCAGAGGTGGGACCAAGTCATTGTTTTACAAGTCTCAACTAAGTCTCAAGTCTTTATCTTCACATCCTGAGTCAAGTCTTAAGGAAAGGCAAGTGTCAAATCAAGTTCCAAGTCTGAAACATAAATTTCAAATCCTTTCAAGTCTTTTTTAAACAATGTTGCAATTACAAGTTAAATGTCCCTCCCTGGGCTGCCACCTTACCATGGTGGAGGGGTTTGAGTGTCCCAATGATCCTAGGAGCTATGCTGTCAGGGGCTTTACGTCCCTAGTAGGGTCACCCAAGGCAGACAGGTCCTAGGTGAGGGACCAGACAAAGTGCAGCCCAAAGACCCCTATGATGAGTAAAATAAATGGACTTGATGTTCCCTCGCCCAGACATGGGTCACCGGGGCCCCACTCTGGAGCCAGGCCTGGAGGTGGGGCACGCGGGCGAGCCCCTGGTGGCCGGGCTTTTACCCATGGAGCTCGGCCAGGCACAGTCCGAAGAGGAGACGTGGGTCCCCCTTCCCATGGGCTCACCACCTGTGGGAGGGGCCAAAGGGGTCGGGTGCAATGTGGGATGGGTGGTGGCCGAGGACGGGGACCCTGGTAATCTGATCCTCGGCTACAGAAGCTGGCTATTGGGACGTGGAATGTCACCTCACTGGTGGGGAAGGAGCCTGAGCTGGTGTGTGAGGGTGAGAGGTTCCGGCTAGAAATAGTCGGACTCACCTCTACGCATGGCTCTGGCTCTGGAACCAGTTTCCTTGAGAGGGGCTGGACACTCTTCCACTCTGGAGTTGCCCCTGGTGAGTGGCACCGAGCAGGAGTGGGCATACTTCTTGCCCCCCATCTTGGTGCCTGTGTGTTGGGGTTCACCCCAGTGAATGAGAGGGTGGCCTCCCTCCGCCTATGTGTGGGGTGACGGGTTCTGACTGTCATTTGTGTTTATGCACCAAACGGCAGTTCAGATTATCAGCCCTTTTTGGAGTCCTTGGAGGGGGTACTGGAAAGTGCACCTCCTGGGGACTCCCTTGTTCTGCTGGGGGACTTCAATGCTTACGTGGACAATGACAGTGAGACCTGGAGGGGGTGGTTGGGAGGAACGGCCCCCCTGATCTGAACTCGTGTAGTGTTCTGTTGTTGGACTTCTGTGCTCATCATGGATTGTCAATAACAAACACCGTGTCCAAGCATAAGGGTGTCTATATGTGCTCTTTGTACCAGGACACCCTAGGCCGCAGTTAGATGATCGACTTTGTCGTCGTCTCATCTGATCTGCGGCCACATGTCTTGGACACTCGGGTGAAGAGAGGGGCGGAGCTGTCCACTGATCACTACCTGGTGGTGAGTTGGCTCCGATGGTGGGGGAGGATGCCGGACAGACCTGGCAGTCCCAAATGTGTTGTGAGGGTTTGCTGGGAATGTCTGGCAGAGCCGCCTGTGAGACAGAGTTTTAACTCCCACCTCTGGGAGAACTTTGAACATGTTCCGGGGGAGGTGGGGGACATTGAGTCCAAGTGGGCCATGTTCCATGCCTCTATTGTCGAGGTGGCTTACCGGAGCTGCGGCTGCAAGGTTGTCGGTGTCTGTTGCGGTGGCAACCCTCGAACCCAGTGGTGGACACAGTCAGTGTGGGATGCTGTCAGGCTGAAGAAGGAGTCCTATCGGGCCTTTTCGGCTTGTGGGACCCCGGAAGCAGCTGATGGGTACCAGCAGTCCAAGCGACATGCGGCTCAGGTAATCGCTGAGGCAAAAACTCGGGCATGGGAGGAGTTCGGAGAGGCCATGGAGAATGACTTACGCACTGCTTCGAGATGATTCTGGTCCACCATCCGGCGTCTCGGGGGGGGGGGGGGGGGGGGGGGGCG